GGGGTGCTGGAGAAGGACGGCCGCTACAGCTGGAGCAGCACCCTGAGGCTCCCTGCAGACCAGTGGAGGAAGGTGGGCTCTGTGACCTGTGAGGCCACCCAGGGCTCCCAGGCTCTGGTCTCAGAGACACTGAGGAGAGACCAGTGTTCCCAGTCCTGACCTGACTCACTGGGACTCTGCTACTGGTTTTACTCTGCTCTCTGAACTCTGTAACTCTCTCTGTGTCTGTGTCTCCTTCTTTCCTTAAGTGATTCTCTAATCACATGTTTCATGGTTAAAGTTTGTTTACTGGATTTAATTTTGATTATTTCTACACAATAAAGACCAGTTCATCAAATTAGTTGTTTTCATTTCTGATATACTGAAAGTAACAGTGGGTAGAGGTCGCGCCCCATGAACAAGGTTGACTCCTTACTGCAGCCGCCTGGGTTTGAATCTCACCTGATCATCATAGTTTCAGTATCTGCAGTGTAATTCTTCACAGAGTCAGTGAGCTGTAGCTGTCCTCAACATATCATGATGTTTCCCCCTCAGTGCTGAGAGCGTTGATCTACATATTTACATATTTACATGAAGAGGATACTAAAAATCTGGTAATAAACTGTTTCAGTGATTTTGTTTTTCATTCCAACGAGGAAAATGAGTTTAATATTGTCTGCTGACAATGAATAGTGACGTTATTTTAATGCGCATTGACGACAGATTTGGTTGTATATAATATCCAGATTTTCTCAAATAAAGAAATGACAAGTCAAGAGCGGAGGCTGAAGCTGGTATATGGTATACGTCTGTCTCCTTCTTTCCTTCTGTCACTCTCTAATCACGTTTCATGGATAAAGTTTGTTTACTTGATTGTTATTTCTACACAATAAAGACCAGTTCATGAAATTAGTTGTTTTCATTCATGCTATTGTGAAGGTAACAGATCAGGAGCGTAGTTGGCTTAGGTGAATTTCAAATTACATTTAAATAATCTTTACATGGAAATAAATATTCTATTTTAAAAACTAAACAAATATATATTATTATTATTATTATTATTATTATATGTTGTTACCTCTAACTTATTCACTTTTCAACTCATCTACAGTAGACATATATATTTCATATACATACATATGGTGTTTCACCCTCAGTGCCGAGAACGCTGCCCTACATATTTACATATTTACATGGAGAGAACATTGAGAAGTCTGGTAGTAAACTGATCCAGTGATTTGTGACAGTTTGTTTTGTCAAGTTTGATCTTTTTTTACACCCGATTCACTGGACTCTACTGGTTTTACTCTGCTACTGCTCTCAGTCTGTCTGGTTCTCAGTTTCTCTCATGAGATGTTTCAATATGGACCTCAGGTGGTTAACGTGCTTGTGTTGATCGTTGATTGATTTTTATCATGTAGACTGGATTATAACAGAAACTTCCTTTCTTTGACATATAAATTAGCAACATTGGTGAGTTTCACAGTAACAAGTTTATTTTTACCATATTACTTTTGGATGGTTTTTGTTCTTTGCTATTACTAATGTCATCCTTGGATAACATACACATACCTAGAAATGATTAAAAGTATATTTAAAAAAAAGGAAGGTATTATCTGCATAAAGTCATTCATGAGTCTGATTTGATATATTGCACCAAATAATATTTAAATGAGACAGTATCACTTCGCCAAATGAGAATGACCGTTTCTGTCTCTTGGTGTCAGCACAATTAATACATTGTGATTTTTCACTGTAGTTTACACCCATCCCATTTACCAAATCAGCTGTATCCCTGCACATTATAACTGTTGTGGTTGTTGTTGTCTTAAATTAAAACATTTAATCCGAAGAGACTGGATTATTCTTAGAGTCAGATCACCAAGATTTTATACTTTTATGTGAACATTTTAAACAGAAATAATGCTCAGTGCCCTACTCTGTACTGAAACGTTCTCTGTTATATAGTAGTTTATCATGTATGAGCGGGGTTGGGAGGATTACTTTAAAAATGTAATCCGGTACAATTACTAATTACTTGTTTAAAAATGTAATCAGTAACGTAATCCAAGTACCAAAAAATAAAAGTAATGTAATCTGATTACTTTTAGTTACTTTTGCATTATTTCAATGCCAAATAGGCAAATGAAAACAAGAGATGTATCAATGATGTGTTTTCTGCTCAGTGTATTTTTAAAGAAACATAGAATAACAAAATTTCCTGTTCCCAAAATCCATATTTAAATGTTTTTATATGATCTGCTTTGCACTATGTCACCACTATGGCAGTATCTCGCCCATCAATGACAAAAACATTGTTTTGTAGGTATTCTTGATGATATTTAAGTTTGTCATTTGGGAAAACATTTTACAATTTTGATTACTCACTCTGCACTTGTATTAATTTAGCATGAAAACAATATAAAGCTGCTGAAGCATAGTGTTTATGGGGCCGGGCCCCACTCATTACTGTACAAAAAATGTTCTTATCTTATTTGAAAGAGAAATATTAGAAATATGGAGACAATATTTTTCTAGTTTTCTCTCTGATGTCCCCCGGCTGCTCTGCCTCAACTCTGTGTCTGAGTTTCCTGATGGACAGATAGCTTTACTTGTTGTTGAAGTTTAACAAGCTAACTAGCTGCTGTTATTAGCTCAGTTAGCTGTGCAACTACTAGTAAAATAAGTTTACTCTGCCCATACTGGGAGATCGGATCACCGGGGTAGTGTTAGTGTTTACCATAGACTGTAATGTTATAAAGGTGTTTAAGTTACACGGGGTGCGGTGTCTGATTGGGAACCGTAACCGGGCGAGCGGGAAAACCATGAACAGGACCGAACACAGCCTCAACGACCAACAGGGAATCCAGTAACTTACTGAGATGATTTACACATTTACTTTTTGTTAAACTGTTAACTGTAGCCTATCTGCCTGTATCTGGTTGGTTACTTCGGTCGGTTAGCCGTGCTGCTAGCGGTCATATAAGCTTACTCAGCCCCGGGTTGCCAAGAGCCAAACCCAGCAAGAAAACTACATTCGTACTGTATCCCCAGTGGTCAAATTGGCCTCTGTCGGTCTCGGAGGCTGTGCTCGGTTCTGGTCCAGCTGCGTGTTCACTCACTGGGAGCTGGAACCAGAATCTGCATGATGGGTCGGAGGCGTAAACACACATTCACCGCTACTGGCGACTGTAAACGCCAATCAATGTCTGCGACATGTCCCACCCTTGCTTTGGCTTTTTACCAGACTGTATATAAAAAAATATATATAGTGGCAAATAGCACAGCGTTTTGTTTCGTGGAAACTTTCTGCTTAAAGGAATCCCTATGAGTAATCCCTGTTGTGGGATTGCGTGGTGTGGGGACAGAGAGGACCCAAATGCAATGTTCGGAGGGAAGGAGGTTTATTGAGGGAGAAAGGGGTAGAGGGACTGGAGTGGAGGAAGAGGTGGATGTCGGGAAAGCATATCATGGTGTTTCCCCCTCAGTGCTGAGAGCATTGATCTCATATTTACATATTTACATGTAGAGGATAATGAAAACTCTGGTGGTAAAAAGATCCATTGCTGTTTTGGTTTGTCTACCTAGTTTGGGAAAAGTTTTTTTTTCACAATGATTAGTGACATTAATATTCATCTTTAGGTGTCTTTAATGTTGAGATTTCATCATGTAAAGCAGTGTTGCGTGTTCATGATCATACAATGTAATTGAAAGCTCAACAACAGTTCGTGGATGGATGTGCAAAGATTATTTAACTGTAGTGTACTGCAACAATTTTAATTTAAACATCTAATTTGACTTGGAATATAGAAAAGGGAGTCTTCATCATTACCTCTTCTTGCATGGAGTCATATATAGTGTTGGAATCCCGGGCAGGAAACCTATCGCGAGAAATGCATAATGCTGTACTGCAAGCTACCTCACTAATCTCAGTATGGATATCATGACAAAGATTGCAAAGAGACCAAAGAAGAAATTATTGGAGGAAGAAGGGATGAGAAGAAGAAAGTGTGACAGAGCACGAGACAGACAAGAGTAAATATCAGACTGGCTTTTTTTTGTTTGGCGTGAGCTAAGGGAGCTAAAGCTCTCGCTGTAATTGATGTTACTTTGTTTGCTCTGTCCTATGTTGTCGCTGATGCTTGATGTTCGGCTGTGTTAGCAAAGCTGTTGACATTAATGATGTAATGTAATCAGAGCAAATACATGAACAGGTGTCCGTATACAACAGTGTCATGTAAGTGAATAGTACTCCTAAAACTGGGAGCCAATTTGGATTATAAAGTTTTCTGATGCTGATCTGTGTCTTCATATTTTGTTATTTGGAAAAAGTTGAAGTTACTGTGCGCGTGCCGTTTACTCACAGAGGGCTGTCTCATCAGACAGGGCCTACGTTATGATATTAAGAATGTTTCTTAGACCGAGATCTTCCCCCCAATAGTAATCAGCATGCAGTGTGTAGCTATCCACTTTTTAATTTGATGGCTTGTCTTCCTTTTGTTTGTCTACTTCTCCCACACGCTGCATCCAGTCTGCTGAAGTCTCCCTCCACTGCTTATTTGTGTGGGTGATTTGCAGGCTGATCAACATCCCGCCCCTCCTGTGACCCATGGTTTGACTGTACGTCTATGTTCAGAGCCAGTGAGAGACAGACTTTTTAAAAACTGCTTTACATGCGATAAAATAATTGTCAGCGATAATTGATTGATGCGTTAACGCTGTTTGTGAGTCCTCAGTGAAGTGTATCAGGGATTATAATGTGATATAAATGTATAGAGAAGAGACGTGCTGGAAAATGTAATTTGACTAAATATATTTTTTGATGATCAAGAGTTTCTTGATCATTAAAAAATTATCTTATTCTATTATTATGCATCACAATAACAAAGCTAATTCATGTGTGTGTGTGTGTGTCCTCAGTGAAGTGTATCAGTCTCTGCAGTAGCTTCCAGCTGCAGCAGTCAGTTCAGTTTCTGTTCAGTCTGACTGAGGGAGGTTTTTGTACGACGCTTTTTCTGTGTGAACACATACTGACCGTTGATAACATGAAAACTCAGACAGTAGTAAACTGCTGCATCTTCAGTCTGGACTCCACTGATGGTCAGAGTGAAGTCAGAGTTTGATCCACTGCCTGTAAAACGATCTGGAATCCCTGACTCTCGAGTGCTAGCAAAGTAAATGAGGAGTTTAGGAGGTTCTCCATCTCTCTGTTGGTACCAGGCTAAAGCGTGGTTTGGGCTGCTATAGAAAACATTCTGACTGGTCCTACATCTGATGGAGACGGAGCCTCCCAGAGCAGAGCTCACTGCTCCAGGCTGAGTCACTGTGACCTGGCCTGTGGACTCTGAGGATACAGAGACAAAAACATAAAGCAGCGTCATGGTTTTGTGGGCTTCATTTCAGAGGGACGGATGTTCATAGAGGAGAGGAGTTTGATTCTCTGGACTTTACCTGTGAAGCAGCAGCAGAGGAGAGTCCAGATGAGGATGCAGATCAAAGTCATGTTTTTGATGAGGAGGATTTCTGTGGCTTCTGTTGTCATGAAGGACAGCTGTCAGTCATCCAGTGTTCAACTCTCAGGACTATAAACTCTCCCAGAGCACTGGAGCATGGTGCTGCTGATGCAAAGTGGCTCTCTATGGAAATGCTTTGACTAACTCCGGTTAGTTATACTATATTTTAATATGGTATAGTAAAAATACTATGATCATAACAAACCAACTTCTGCCAGTACTAATCATCTTTTCAGCACCATTATTATTGCTCTGTATAGCAATTTAAGAGACAGTAAATGCTTTTCTTTTATTCTAACAGATTTAATGCACATGGGTGACCCAAAACACGTCTAGTTAATGTATTTATTTCAAATTAGTAACAAAAAAAGGTGTTTAACAACTTAAAGCGATCTTTCATCCTATCAGAGATGATATGGGGTTTGTTATCTAAAGTAAATTAATTATTTGCTATCGTAACATAATCATCTATATAACAAAACAACTTCAGCAAGTACAAATAATCTCTTTAGCACCATTGTTACTGCTCTGTATAACAATTTAAGAACGACTGCTTCTGTTGTGTCTAATGTAGTTAATGCACATCTCTCAGTACCAGAACAGGTAACAGGAAGAGGTTACACAGAATTGTCAATCATCTGCTGTGCTGTGGAGACGCCTTGATACTGATGAGTAAGTTTATTTTTCTTTCAGAGGTTAATATTCAGTATTTACCCTTTTGTTTGTTTCGTTATTCCTCATTTCCAACACTTGCTGTCAGTGAACCCAGACTGGATGTTAACTGTAAGTACATTTGACTCTTTTAATAACCCAAATTATTATTATTTTTTTAGTTTTATTTCATAACTGTAGCAATAATTCTTGAATGCGGTACATTATGTCCTAATGGTCTAACAGCCGGAGCAGTCGACAGACCCTCCTCAGCTCCAGGGCCCCGTCCACACGGATCCTCCGTGGTGCCTGGAGGATGAGACCTGCGACTCGTCCAAGGCCTCAAGATGGCCTTTCTCCTTGCTATCACCTCTCTTAGGAGGGTGGGGGATCTCCAAGCGCTTTCGGTTTCCCCGCAAAGCCTGGAGTTTGCCCCGGGGAATATTAGGGCTATCCTGCACCCTCGTCCAGGATACATCCCTAAAGTGCCTTCTTGTGCGGCAGGGTCCACAGTGCTGCAGGCATTTCATCCTCCACCTCATGTGACGGCGGAGGACGGGAGACTTCATCTGCTCTGCCCTGTCAGAGCACTGAGTATGTACACTCTGAGGTCCTCCCGTTGGAGGAAGGCTGACCAGCTGCTTGGGTCTTTTGGGTCTCCCAGGGCTGGGCTCCCTGCATCCAAACATACTATTAGCAACTGGATTGTTCAGACTATTTCCCTGGCCTATCAGGTGCGCGGTTTGCCTTCACCTGTGGCTGTGAGGGCTCATTCTACCAGAGGCATGGCGGCCTCTCGAGCCCTCCTTTCCGGGGCCTCTTTGCAGGATGTTTGTTTAGCGGCTGGCTGGGCCACTCCGCACACATTCATTCGGTTTTACAGTCTTGACCTTCCTTCGGCACCTGGCACTCGTGCAAGTCGTGCCACTTTATTGCACACTGGGGCAGGCGGGGTTTTCGGCACGGTGTAGTGGGTATCTCGTTCCCATAGTGTCGTAACCGACGCAGTTCGAGTTCCCTGGTGTAACCCTGGTTCCCCGAGAAGGGGAACGAGACACTGCGTCGGCCCGCCGCACCTCTCTCCCCGCCTGAAGCGCCTGCTTCATAGTTTAAGCTAATGATGAGTGTGTACAGGTGTGCTTTATACTCCTCCGGTTATTCCGTCACACCTTACCGTTCTAGCAACAAGCCAATAGGATTGGAGTGATTTCATTCACGTTCAGACCTGCTTCGCCTAGAGGCGTTCCCATAGTGTCGTAACCGACGCAGTGTCTCGTTCCCCTTCTTGGGGAACCAGGGTTACATACGTAACCCGAGACGTTATACTCTGGACCCACCTGCGCGTTTACAGGTGGACAGAGGTTGGGTGCGAGATTTAAGACCACTTCCTTCACTCTGTTCAATCTCACTCTTATTATTTTTTCACTCAATTACATACTAATTTCTCACCGTGTAAATATTTAATTAAAAGCAATGATAAAAATCTAAAAGCAAAGAAAAACAGGGCAGTAAAAGTTACATTGCAGTGTAAGTTATCAACAAAAAGAAAAATCTTAAAAATTTAATTAAAAGCAATGGTAAAAAGAAAAGTCTTCAGTCTTAATTTAAAAGAACTGACAGTTTCAGCAGACCTGCAGTTATCTGGGAGTTTGTTCCAAATATACGGAGCATAATAACTGAACACTGCTTCTCCTTGTTTAGTTTTGCCTCTGGGGAAAGAAAGCAGACCTGCCCCAGACGACCTGAGAGGTCTGGATGGTTCTTAACGAAGCAGAAGATTGGAAATGTATTTTGGCCCTAAACCATTTAGTGCTTTATAAACTAACAGCAGGATTTTGTAATCAATTCTTTGACATACAGGAAGCCAATGTAAAGACCTCAGAACTGGAGTGATGTGATCCACCTTTTTGGTCTTAGTGAGGACTCGAGTAGCAGCGGTCTGAATCAGCTGCAGCTGTCTGATGGATTTCTTAGGGAGCCCTGTAAGGACACTGTTACAGTAGTCAAGTCGAATGAAGATAAATGCATGGATAAGCTTTTCTAGGTCCTGCTGAGACGTAAGTCCTTTAATCCTTGATATATTCTTCAGGTAAGATGACTTTGTAATTGTCTTAATATGGCTCCTCAAATTCAGGTCTGAGTCCATGACTACACCAAGATTTCTGGCTTGATTTGTGGTTCTTAACATTACAGATTGAAGTCAAGCACTGACTTTCAATTGTTCCTCCCTGGCTCCAAAAACAATAACTTCAGTTACTTCAGTTTTATCCTTGTTTAATTGAAGAAAATTCTGGCACATCAAATCGTTGACCTGTTCAATACAGTTACTCAGCGCTTGTATGGGATCATAGTCCCCTGGTGAAATGGTTATGTAAATCTGTGTGTCATCTGCATAATTATGATAACATAATTTGTTGTTTTTTTATAATCTGAGCCAGTGGAAGCATGTAAATGTTAAACAAAAGAGATCCCAGAATGGAGCCTTGGGGAACTCCACATGTCATTTTTGTCAGCTCAGATGTGTAATTACCTATAGACACAAAGTATTCAATTCAATTCAATTTTCAATTCAATTTTATTTATATAGCGCCAAATCACAATAACAGTTATCTCACAGCGCTTTTCATAAAAGAGCAGGTCTAGACCATACTCTGTGATGATATTTACAGAAGCCCAACAGTTCCCACCAAGAGCAAGCACTAGGCGACAGAGGCAAGGAAAAACTTCCTTTTAAGAGGCAGAAACCTCGAGCAGAACCATGGCTCAGGGTGGGCGGCCATCTGCCTCAACCGGTTGGGGTGAGAGAGAGAGAGAGAGAGAGAGAGAGAGACAAAGAGAGAGAGAGAGAGAGAGAAAGAGAGAGGGATGTAAGGAGAGAGAGAGGGGAGGGCGGCAGCCTACACAATATACACACAGAGGTACAGACAGTGAAGGTAATGTTGCTATAGACTAAATGAAAAATGGTACAGATATTTATAATAGTGTTAATGGTAACCATCGTAATGTTAATGATTATAAGAACAATAATAACAATAAGACTAGCAACAATAGTCGTTGCAGTAGAGGGTGTCGAGCAGGAACACGGGGGCAGCAGGTGACCCGCAGCCACAGATCCAGACTCCACAGCTCCAGAGCCAGAAAACCTGCAGGAAGTGATAGGAGAGAGGAGAGAGACGAGAAAGCACAAGACTACCAGAAAGGGGAGAAGTTGTGTTAGTAACATGCAATAATGGGATAAGGTTGCATACAGAGGGAGAGAAAGTAGAGGAGAGAGCTCAGTGCATCATGGGAAATCCCCCAGCAGTCTAGGCCTATAGCAGCATAACTAAGGGATGGTTCAGGACTACCTGAGCCAGCCCTAACTATAAGCTTTATCAAAGAGGAAAGTCTTAAGCCTACTCTTAAATGTGGAGATGGTGTCTGCCTCCTGAACCCAAACTGGAACCTGGTTCCACAGGAGAGGAGCTTGATAGCTGAACGTTCTGGCTCCTAGTCTACTTTTGGAGACTCTAGGAACCACAAGTAACCCTGCATTCTGGGAGCGCAGTGCTCTGGTGGGGTAGTAAGGTACTATGAGCTCTTTAAGATAAGATGGTGCCTGACCATTAAGAGCTTTGTAGGTAAGAAGAATGATTTTAAATTCTATTCTGGGTTTTACTGGAAGCCAATGCAAAGAAGCTAAGACAGGAGAAATGTGATCTCTTTTCCTGGTTCCTGTCAGAACACATGCTGCAGCATTCTGGATCAGCTGAAGAGTCTTAATGGACTTTTTCGAGCAGCCTGATAATAAGGAATTGCAGTAATCCAGCCTAGAAGTAACAAATGCATGGACTAGTTTTTCTGCATCATTTTTAGACAGGATGTTCCTGATTTTTGCAATATTACGTAGGTGAAAAAAGGCGGTCCTTGAAATTTGCTTAATGTGAGACTTAAACGACATGTCCTGATCAAAGATAACTCCAAGATTCCTCACAGTGGTGCTGGAGGCCAAGGCGATGCCATCCAGGGAAACTATATCTTTAGATAATGTGTCACGGAGGTGCTTAGGCCCCAGAGCAATAACTTCAGTTTTATCATGTTTGAGTTTAACATTAGAAAATTACAGGTCATCCAGGTTTTAACATCCTGAAGGCACATTTGAAGTTTAGCTAACTGATGAGTTTCATCTGGCTTGATCGATAGATATAACTGAGTATCATCTGCATAACAATGAAAGCTTATGGAATGTTTCCTGATAATATTGCCTAAAGGAAGCATATATAAAGTGAAGAGGATTGGTCCGAGGACAGATCCTTGAGGAACTCCATGACTAACTTTGGCGTGCATGGAGGACTCATCGTTAACATGTACAAACTGAAATCGATCTGATAAATAGGACTTAAACCAGCTTAGAGCAGTTCCTTTAATGCCAATGAAATATTCCAGTCTCTGCAATAGGATCTGATGGTCAATGGTATCAAATGCAGCACTAAGATCTAATAAAACCAGTACAGAGACAAGTCCTTTTTCTGATGCAATAAGGAGGTCATTAGTAATTTTCACCAGTGCTGTCTCTGTGCTATGATGAGCTCTAAATCCTGACTGAAAATCCTCAAATAAACTATTGTTCTGTAGAAAGTTACACAGCTGATTAGCAACTGCTTTCTCCAGAACCTTAGAGAGAAATGGAAGGTTAGATATAGGTCTATAGTTGGCTAAAACATCCAGATCAAGTTTGGGCTTTAGTAGTAGTCCCTGTGCTTTAAGTAGGATTCAAACCAGTTTAGTACTGTGCCAGAAAGTCCAACCCAGTTGAAGACCTTAACAAGAGCCGTCTCAGTGCTGTGGTGTGGTCGAAATCCTGACTGGGAGACATCAAAACAGTTATTTGGTGGCAAGAAAGCACTAAGCTATTGAAAAACAGCCTTTTCAATGATTTTACTTAAAAATGGGAGATTTGATATGGGCCTATAATTAGTGACCTGTCTAGACTGCTATTTTTTAAGAGTGTCTGAATGACTGCAGTTTTCAGGGCCTGTGGGAAAAAACCTGAGAGGAGAGACATGTTGACAATTTATAGTAGATTGAGGCCATGCATATAGACACGTTTTTGATAAAACCTGTTGGCGGAATATCAAGGCAGCATGAAGAGGATTTCAGATGTTGGATTATGTCCTCCAGGTTTTTATGGTTAATAGAATCAAATTGTCTCATGCTATATAAATTGTTTTTGAGTGGACATAGAGACATGACATATCCTGTTACTGGCATGTAGGCACTGATTGCTTGTCTAATTGTTTGAATTTTGTCTGTGAAGAAGGAGGCAAATTCATTGCAGGCCCTGGTGGACAGAAGTTCAGAGGCTACAGACACAGGAGGGTTGGTTAGCCTGTCGACAGTAGCAAACAAGGCATATGCATTATTAGTGTTTTTGGTGATGATGTCAGAGAAGAAGGACTGCCTTGCATTTCTCAGTTCTAAATTATAAATGCAAAGTCTCTCTTTATAGATGTCATAATGAACATGGAGATTTGTTTTCTGCCACCTGCGTTCAGCTTTTCGACGCTCTCTTTTTTGGACTTTATTATTAATCAATAAAGCACAGACAAAAAAAATCATCCAAATTCAGTTTCTCAAAAACGCCTTCTCTCTCTCTCTCTCTCTCTCTCTGCAGTGGGTTGAGTCGTCCCCACCCTGACGGTGCTGCCCCCCTCCAGTGAGGAGCTGCAGCAGGGGAAGGCCACGCTCATGTGCCTGGCCAACAAGGGCTTCCCCTCAGACTGGAGTCTGGCCTGGAAGGTGGACGGCAGCAGCAGCAGCAGCAGCTGGGAGGAGAGCAGGAGCCCCGGGGTGCTGGAGAAGGACGGCCGCTACAGCTGGAGCAGCACCCTGAGGCTCCCTGCAGACCAGTGGAGGAAGGTGGGCTCTGTGACCTGTGAGGCCACCCAGGGCTCCCAGGCTCTGGTCTCAGAGACACTGAGGAGAGACCAGTGTTCCCAGTCCTGATCTGACTCACTGAGACTCTGCTACTGGTTTTACTCTGCTCTGTGAACTCTGTCACTCTTTTTTCTGTCATCAGATATTATTAACATTATTCAACTTTAATTAGTGAAGCTTGAATGATGTTAACAACATAAGAAAATAAAAAAGTTATTTCAAATTAAGCAGTATTTCATGAATTCCTTTATGCCAAAAAATATGTATCTTCCTTGATGTTATACGTGCAGTATTGTATCTGATGTCAGAAGAAGACTTATTCATTACTGGTGATGGTTTTATTAATACATTCTGGGATTGCATCATTTATTTTCACTCTGCCAGAAACTCCTTGAATCTCACCTTACAGTGTCTCTGTTTAGCAGAACTATCATAATGCAGGTTTAAACAAGGTGTGAATGAAAAGTGAAAGAAGGTGTTTTCATGAAATCATTTAAAATGTAGTTTATAAAAATCTACATTACACAATATAGTTTCAAGAATTAAACATAAAATAAAGAGTAATGTCAACATGAGATGAGTTCTTATCTCAGATTATTACACCAAAGATTTTATGTGTTTAAGATCACCACTAATGAGTTATTGTTTACATCTTGATTTAATGTTTTTAATTGGTCAGTAGTTTTCAGGATTCAAAATTTTCTAATATGTCATTATATCTTAAATTTTATTATCTGCAGACAAAATACTAACATAGTTAGTAATCCCTTGTTTAGGAGGGATCTCTTTTGGTTCTGTTTTGTTCTTTGGTTTACGCAGCACTCACTTGCCCAGTTTGTGTTTTGACTTTTTGTTTTAACTTTTTCCCGTTTATTAAATAACATTTACACTTTTACCAAAAACATCTGCTTTATGTTTCCCCTACCCCTAGCGAGCGGGGACGTAACAATCAAAATAACAAAATATAAATGTGATTTCACATTTTACAAAATCCGCATGGAAGTGCATTGAATTTAAATAAAATACTCACCTAAAACAAAGGAAAACTCACGAAATGACATTTCTTATTATTGTAACCTCTCAGTGTGTTTCAATAAAATGTTGAATTACTTTGAAAATAACATTTCAAGACACTGAGAAACACATGTCATTAATTTTATAAATCTTTAAATTATTTTTTGTGAATATTTCAAAAACTGCATTACTGTCTTTTTACTGAGAAGTGGCTTTGGATATACTGTTTTGACACCTCTCTAAAAAAACACTATCAATAAAAATACTACTTCTGCATATTCTGTATTTCCATGATTTTGCTGTTATTTCTTTTATACTGTATTAATATTTAAACATCTAGTGTTTTCATTTCTGTGCAGCTGGTGAGTCAGATCAGTTCCTCTCCAGCTGAGGGAGGTTTTTGTACGACGTTGTATCACTGTGTGAACGGGAAGCTGTGACCACCCTGCTGACAGTAATAAACTCCTGCATCTTCAGTCTGGACTCCTCTGATGGTCAAAGTGAAGTCAGTTCCAGACTGACTCCCACTGAAACGATCTGAAACTCCAGACTGACGGGTTGTAGCATAACTAATAAAAAGTTGAGGAGATTCTCCAGCTTTCTGAAGGTACCAGTGAAGGTAGTTACTCATACTTGAACTGGCTTTACATCTGAGAGAGACAGTCTGTCCTGGAACAACAGACTGAGATCCAGGAGACTGAGTCAGGATGATTTCTCCTGATGAATCTGGAAAACATGAAAAAGAGGAGAAGGATTATTGAGACAAATTTCAGTTCTCCAGTTTGGAGAAAGATGATCAACATCCAAACAGAAGAGTCTCATTTCTTTAACATGGAGAACAGATGGAAGAAGGTAAATGCTGCTTGTTTCAGTGTTTCTCCATCACAGCAGAACATCATTGTGGTGAACCTGGTTGCATCCTGAAGCAAAGTTTTCAGAAGAGAGTCTCACCCTGAACAAGGAGCCCCAGGGTGGCCAGCAGTAGAATCAGTGACATCATCATTGTGCTGCCGGCGTGTCAGTGGCTCTGAAAGGCCTGGACAGCCACTGATCAACACTGGCCTCTTAACGGCTGGGAGCAGAGAGGCAGGACACATATGCAAACACACAGAGTCAGTGAGCTGTAGCTGTCCTCAACATATCATGCTGTTTCCCCCTCAGTGCTGAGAGCGTTGATCTACATATTTACATATTTACATGTAGACGATACTGAAAACCTGTCATTTTCACTATCCTCTACATGTAATATGGTAATTTTAGACAATGATTAGTGACATTAATATCAATGTAGGTTTGACATATTTAGGTGTCTGTAATATGGAAATTTCTTTAAGTAAAGTAGTGTTGGGTGTTTGAGGGGATGCTGAGGCAGATGATCTCAGAGAGCTTCCTCGAGAAACTCCAACCAGAAGTTTTGGACATGTGGGCGGAGCCAGAACACATTGAAGTCATCATCAGTTACATTACTGTTTTTATAACATGACCTCCCTCAGCAGATGGAGTTCACCCAGCGGTCATGGAATATTCAAACTTTGATGTCAACATGGACGTGAAGTCTTAAAAATGCTCAGAGGAAGAGGAATTTGAAAATCTACATTTCAGAGAAATCTGGCAGACTCCATCTGCTGAGAAAGATCATGTGATGTGATTGAAAGCTCCACAAAGTTAGTTGATAGATGTTGTGCAGAGACTGTTTAACTGTTTCCAAGTTGAAGAACAAACTTTTTTAATCTCAGTGTATTTGTTTGATTTTGAGGTGCATGTAAAAGAACATGTTACTGCATATGCTTTATAAAAAGTGTATGCGTTATAATTAACTTATACACATGTAAATGTATACGTATCAAGGAGGTTATGTCTTTTGTGTTTTTTTTGTGTGTGTGTCCTCAGTGAAGTGTATCAGTCTCTGCAGTAGCTTCCAGCTGCAGCAGTCACTTCAGTTTCTGTTCAGTCTGACTGAGGGAGGTTTTTGTACGCTTTTTCACTGTGTGAACAACCACTGACTGTTGATGTTATGGAGACTCTGACAGTAGTAAACTGCTGCATCTTCAGTCTGGACTCCACTGATGGTCAGAGTGAAGTCAGAGTTTGATCCACTGCCTGTAAAACGACCTGGAATCCCTGATGCTCGAGTGCTAGCAGCGTAAATGAGCAGTTTAGGAATTTCTCCAGCTCTCTCTGTTGGTACCAGGCTAAACAGTGGTTGTTGCTATGAACATAAACATTCTGACTGGTCGTACATCTGATGGAGACGGAGCCTCCCAGAGCAGAGCTCACTGCTCCAGGCTGAGTCACTGTGACCTGGCCTCTGGACTCTGAGGATACAGAGACAAAAACATAAAGCAGCGTCATGGTTTTGTGGGCTTCATTTCAGAGGGACGGATGTTCATAGAGGAGAGGAGTTTGATTCTCTGGACTTTACCTGTGAAGCAGCAGCAGAGGAGAGTCCAGATGAGGACGCAGATCAAAGTCATGTTTTTGATGAGGAGGATTTCTGTGGCTTCTGTTGTCATGAAGGACAGCTGTCAGTCATCCAGTGTTCAACTCTCAGGACTATAAACTCTCCCAGAGCACTGGAGCATGGTGCTGCTGATGCAAAGTGGCTCTCTATGGAAATGCTCTGACTGACTCCAGCAGGGACTTGGATTACTCTGATGATGCTGTTTATCAAAGGATCAATACTCACATATTATGTCTGATATTTGAAATGTGATAACAATTTTTGAAGTCTTCTATGTTGTTAACAAAGACTTTGTTGTTGCAATAAAACTTTTATTACATTTTATACATTATTATCAATTTCTCGTAGGAAACCCTGGGGCATGTTGTTTTTTGTTTTATCAGTTTGTTTGAAAAAGTAGTTCAATAGTTAACATTGTTCATTTGAACGTTTCATTGTTGATTCTTACTTACATAAAATGGACAAACATAGCATCTTTATTGGAGGTGTTTGGCTTGAGACAAGAAATATTTAAGACAGTTAAAACAAGAAATTAATTCAATTATTTAATTTAAGAACAAAGAATATACATATGAGGAAAACTGTGCCAGTTATAACTTTTTATCTTTAGTACTGAAAACCTTCTGTTGTCATGGTTCAGCAGTGATGCCTATCGGTTGCCATGGTTACTGAGTTCAGAGACGGAAATGAAACCAGTTTCATCCAATCTGAGGAAGACCGACACACTAGCAGCCTCCTCTCCTGCGACCAACAGAATGGAGTTTAGCTTACCTCGTATAAACGTTATTATCTCTCTCTTTGCAGTGGGTCGAGTCGACCCAGAACACTGAGGAGAAGCTCTCTGTGTCTTACAACACTAAAAAAATATATAAATATCGATTCTATTGTGTTCAATAACTGCTGAGATATGCTGCAGTGAAATTTTATTATTTGAGTATGCTACTTAAATTTCTTACGTTATATGACACAAGCTATCTATCAAAACACAATTATCACAGACTCAGAACTACAACAAAGGTTATTTTTTGTTTTATTATTCCCATGTGTAGTGTTCAGTTGTAATCCAGTGCTGCTTTCTTGTGGAATTGTCATTGTACTACACATGTTTTTCAAGTCACTTGAGGTATTTTTGTGTCTTTTTTATACAAGCAGTGTTTTGAGAGCATATTTATCGCACTGCAATGACAAAAATAAACAGGACTTTTTTGTGTCACAAAAAAGTTTTAATTGCTTATATGTCCTCTTTGATTTCAAGTCAAAAAGTTTTCCTTGCAAGTCAGAAATTTTTGGAGGTTGTAACGTTTTTCAAGTGAGAAAGTTTTGCAATTTGAAAAGTTGTGCAAGTCAAAAATGCAATATTATGTAGCTGCAGTACCGGAGGCTGCAGTTTCAGGACTCCCGCAATCCTGGGACCGCAGTTCTAGGACTGTAGTTCTTTCGTGACAATGCCATCTAGTGGAGTGGTGGTGGTAATGCACAGCAACGTGAAGGAGGTTAACCCTGGCTGCTAGCACAGCTGTAGGGTTAACCGGTCGACATGCACATAATCAATAACTTAAGTTTAGGCACACACTCTGTGATGGTTGTGGTGAGGGTAATTGGCTTCAGGGGGGTGTCAAGAGTAACATAGCTAGCTAGCTTGCTAGCCAGCTAGCTGGCAGTATCAAAGTAGTCCTAGAAATGCAGTTCCGGTCCTAGGATTGCGGTCCTGAAACGGCAGCCTCCGGTACTAAAGCTACATACTACTCCAAAAATGGTGAAAATAAGAGATTCTATTGGTGGGTTTGACTGACCAATCATGGGTTTGCATTGACTGCTTCAACTCCGAGCAGCACTCAGTTGTCACGTGTACAGGCAAGATGGAGGTAAGTTGACGTTATGTTGCTCATTTCAATAGAAATTCTTTTAAATGTAGTTTGGCATAATTTAATGATTTTTTTATATTTACCGTTGGCCAGGCCACAGAGTCTATCGCTGTCTCCTTTTTTAAAATGACATGTATAATAGTTAGCTAATGTTAGGCGTCTTAGCATGAAGCTTGACTGGTAGTGCATCAGACATGACTAGCTAGGTAAATTTTAGCTGCTCATGTTTAACGCATTGTACATGATATCCAGCAGAAATATTTTTCTGTGACTGTGGTAATTGAAGTTTATGGTCACACAGCATAAACTAGACTTTAGACCGCTGATATTTCATTGGAAATATAGACTGTTATCTAGATATTTTGAGGTGTTGCTGCCTTGTTATGTTTTCTCCTTTAGATGTGACATAGAAGCATTTATTATACTTGTTTATTTTCCTCCCATAGTTGCACTCTAGATCATTGGTGACAGCTATGTGCAGCATGAGAGCCAGAGAGCTGCAGAGACCTTAGGAAGCATCTTCACCCTGCCGGATGTCTCTTGGTCTGACTGGCTTCTCCCTTTCTTTTCCCCTCCCTGCGAAGAAGTGCAGCAATGGATGTCCTCATCATCCACTGTGGCGGCAGCTGCACGGGGGATTAGCAGAATGCATGATGGTATATATGGCTTGGTTAGTGACCATCGGTTGTACACTACTTTTCAAAATGCATTCTGGGATACATTGAGTGGACTATATAGGGTATAATAACTCTCACTATATAGTCCACCATAGTGAGTAGTGGGTGATTTCGGACACAGGGACAGGGACATATGTTTCTTATGATCGCAGGATCTCTGGAGAAATTTCTGACTTGCAAGGAAAACCTTTTGCAAAACTATTTAACAATCTGAACTTTTCTGTGACACAAAAAAAGGCCTGTTTATTTTTAATTACAAACTTTTTATTGCAGTGCGATAAATATGCTCACAAAAAATCTTTTTTTGTTTGCTTGCATTAAAAAGACAAAAAACCTTATTACTTATACAAGCCTTTTCCTAACGTGTTATCCAAAATGATTTATCCAGAGCAGAAGGGGCATCAGTGGCAGGACAGATCTAAGTGTGATAAGAACTGTGCTCTATAATAATTTCATTTTTAGGCCTCCCATGGCTCTGTGGATGGAAATGTTGGTCAGTCCGCTACTTTGGTCCATATTGAAATATGATGGATTGTAGTGAAATTTTGTACAGAAACTTTGGTTGATGACCTTTCCTCCTCCGCCACCGGCAGGTCAGTGTTTTCTTATTCTGTTAAATTCTCATTGCTTACACCATGTGGTCATTGAGAAAGCACTAACATTCAATATTGTTCACTCAATCAGCACAGATTGAGCTCAGCTGACCCTTCTACCACATCCCCCGACGACTGAGACAAAAGCCAACAATATGAACAACAACAACACTATTCCTGTCAAGCTGGGTTGTCCTCTATTCATTATTACATTAAAAAGCAGAACAGTAGGGCTTTATAACGTTACATTCAGTAGGAAGTTAGCTAGCGTTAGCTAACTAACATTAGGAACAATCCATTCTGGATTTATTTCAGGTTTTGGAAAGAGAGTAAATCGTACTTCTCCTTTCAACCTCTCTGGGTTGCGACTGTAATTATTACAAGGGCCCCAGCGTTTGACCATATCTTAG